ATTTGATTTTGCTTATGAATATACTATTAATTCTCATTGATTTTCAATGTGCTTTGTGCTAATTCATTCCGATTTAAGGAAAGTCAATGGGAAATCTACATTTCAATCGGAGATTGCTGTTGCACAATTCGGGTTCACAAACCCATAGGAAATTTTTCTATCAGTTTCAATGGGAATTTTTAAACAGGGTATCCACATCTTGTACTATTATAACATTTGTTAAATAAAAGAGAATATTATTTTGTACTTTTTAAATACTTTTTTATTATTATTATTATTATTATGTATTATTATTATTATTAACTTTATTGAGTGTACTGTTAACAAAATACATTCTATATATTACAATATTATTCGAGATAAAGTATCAGTAACACTACAATAGGCTGGGCGACAGCTGAGCAGCTGATTTGAAGCCGTACCTGCATGTTATACATAAGTGAGTTATACATATTGAATTCACAAAATACTTTGTATGACAATTACACAAGTATAACTATTACGAAAATAAAAACAATATGTATAACAATAATTTGTAAAACAATTACACAAGTAAAACAATTACGTAAATAAAAACAAGTAAGTGAGAAGAAACATTGTAACAATTAATAAAATAAAAAGAAATACAATTAATATTACAATTACGCAAATAAAAACAAGTAAGTGAAAAGAAGCATTGTAACAATTAATGAAAAGAACTACAATTAATATTACAATTACATGAATAAGCGAAAATTTCTGCAATAAGTATTATAACAGTTTTTATATTTTCAAATTTTACCTAATTATAAAATTGTACGCATAACTGTTATTTTTATATTATTTTATAATTTAAATTGGTTTAACATTAATAATGGCCCGACTGATATCGAAACGTCTTGTTTTTATTACATATATTTTGAATATTAAAAGATCTTACATTAGGCTCATAGTCCTTCTATTATTTTATTATTGGGTGTCTCATTTTAAATGATCCAGTCAAATATCTCTAAAACTAAACCCAGTAGACAAAAATGTTTCAGACAAAAGTGTTTAACTCGAAAGGGGACATAAGATGGTGCCATCAATTTGACCTTGGATAGTCCTCTGAAGGTCACGTGAAGATCACCTTTAATTTTTTAAATGGAACCCTTATTTCTCATTGCACATTCTTACAGCTCAACTCGAGAGCTTATTTAATAGAATTTAAATAATAGTACTATATGGGTTCTTAAAGATTAAAGGTACCACTTGTGTTTTACTTTTTAATTTGGTAGAATTTAACTTGACGCCGACTGTTGATATCAAATCTTGTATACAAATGATAAATGCCATTAAAATTAAGTAAGTAATAAGGTAGAATAACTTGGTGCCGACTATTGATATCAAATCTTTTATGCAAATGATACATGTCGTTCGAATTAAGTAAATAAGCTTAATATACCTCCCCGCTCAAAAACAAATTTGAGCTATACTAGAGTCGTTAGAAATATATATATATAAATTTATTATAATAATAATATCGGTATATACGGAAAGTTTCGACTTCACAGAGTCCTCAACAGCCGCAACCGAATTCTTAAATTTAATTTTTAATATATTGGGAAGAATATCACAAGTTGGCGTTTCGTCCCGGCTTCCACTACTGGACTCATCAGTAAGGTAACGTAGTGGAAGCCTACCTTAGACGCCTGTTTTAGTTCTTAAATCGAGATTCTATATATACAGATATGCGCGTATTTCAGCACTTGCGAGAAACTTTACGAATATCCATAGACCTCTGATGGCGAGTCGACGTAGTAATATTCTTCGCAATATTTTTAAGTAATATACGTTGAAAAGTTCCCCCCAAATTGCGTGCCGAACACAGTCGGTCTTTAAAACGCAACTCTAATAATTTGAAATAATATTCCCTTAACCCTTTGCGTCACGGTGGGATGCTCAGCGTCCCACCTTTTATCCGTTGGTTTTTTCACCTTTAAAAATCAGTTTCTCATATTTTTTACGTCGTGATTGATTTTCTACATAGCTGAGGCATTTATTTGTCGAATACAAGACATCATACATATTAACATACTATAGTTCATTAATTATAAACAATAATATACCAAAAAATGGCCATTTTTTTAAAAAGAAATCGTTTGTGAAAAATAATCACATACAATTCGCTTGAAAAACGCTACTCAGGGGTTTTTGGGGTCGCTGAATACGAATCTGATATCAGTTTTCAAAAAATTTAAAATGGCGGATCCAATATAGCGGACATGAAAATTGAAACTCGACTGAATTAGCTTGAAACGAGTAACTCGAGAGTTTTCGGTGTCGCCGATTGCGAATCTGATATCAGTTTCTAAAAATTTAAAATGGCGGATCCAAAATGGCGGATATGAAAATTGAAAATCTACTGAATTCGCTTGAAAGAAGTTACTTGAGGGTTCGCGGGGTTGCTGAATACGAAAATGAAAATAGATTTTGGGATTTAAAACGATTGAATATAAGTGGAAGACGCTTATGTATGAGTGAAAACTAACATCAGATTTGTAATCTGCGACCCCGAAAACCCCCGAGTAACTCGTTTCAAACAAATTCATCCATTTTTTAGAAAGTCGTCGGCCATATTGGATCCGCCATTTTGAATTTTTAAAAACTGACATCAGATTCGTAATTTGCGACCCCGAGAACCCCCGAGTAACTCCTTTCAAGCAAATTCATCCATTTTTTAAAAAGTCGTCCGCCATATTGTATCCGCCATTTTGAATTCCTGAAAAATGATATCAGATTCGTAATCAGCGACCCCAAAAACCCCTGAGTAACGAGTTTCAAGCGAATTCAGTGAATAGAAAAATGCGTGACTGAAAGGGTTAATAATTTTTCCCACGCATTGTTAGACCAGCGTACAACAAACTAAATTAAATTATAATATCCGCTCAAATGAATTTTTCAAATTAAACTTAATATACCTCCCCGGTCAAGAACAAATTTGAGCTATACTAGAGAGAGAGAGTTGTTAGAAATATATATATAAATTTATTATAATAATAATATCGGTATATACGGAAAGTTTCGACTTCACAGAGTCCTCAACAGCCGCAACCGAATTCTTAAAAATTAATTTTTAATATATTGGTAGTTTTAATATATTGGTCTAAGGTAGGCTTCCACTACGTTACCTTACTGATGAGTCCAATAGTGGAAGCCGGGACGAAACGCCAACTTGTGATATTCTTCCCAATATATTAAAAATTAATTTTTAAGAATTCGGTTGCGGCTGTTGAGGACTCTGTGAAGTCGAAACTTTCCGTATATACCGATATTATTATTATAATAAATTTATATATATATTTCTAACAACTCTCTCTCTCTCTCTTTTTAGTACAGCTCAAATGGGAAAAATCCACTGCACCATATATATAACAAATGACTTTAAAAATGATTTTAAAATATTATATAACGAAAGAGAATGAAATACAGCGAAAAAGATGGGTAGTTGGGTGGGGGTAGCGGAGAAAGAGAGAGAGGAGGTTTTATAACATACTCTCTTGCTCTGTTAGTTTGTTCAACAAAAATTGAATAAAATTAAAAACACAGAATTTTGATTTAAAAACTAGTTTGGCAATAGTTTATATTTATTTTTTACTTCTGAATTTTTAGGATTTAAACTTTTCATAATACCATAGAATTTAACTTGGCGCCGACTGTTAATATCAAATCTTTTATACAAATGATACATGTCGTTCGAATTAAGTAAATAAGGATAATATCACGTAAATTTTTAAAGATTAGAATTTAACTTGGCGCCGACTATTAATATCAAATTTTTTATACAAATGATAAATGTCATTAAAATTAAGTAGTAATAAGGTAGGATTTAACTTGGCGCTGACTAATTGATATCAAATCTTTTATACAAATGATACATGTCATTGATTTATGTAGGTAAGTAAATAATAAGGATAATACCACGTAAGTTTTTAAAGATGGTTCTACTACTAAACAGCAAATGTGATTGGTCAGTTTCACAGTCGATTAAGTAATTGGCGTTGGTGAAACTGGCCCAAACGGTTTTTTATCAGAGGCAAGCAGTCTTAGCGCTTCTTTTACCTTTTTTTTAAAAAAAGTAATTTACGATTATAGGTTTTACATAAAGAAAGAGAGTGAAATACAGCGAAAAAGATGGATAGTGGGAGTGAGGGGTGTGGGAGAAATAGGAGGGAGGAGGTAATAATAACGACGACGTTTCTTAAAAACGATGTGAAAAGTTACAGATTCGGACTTTGCGTCGCAATATCTCCCCTCGTAAGGCACGTAGAAGAAAAATAAAAGCACTTTTATTATACAATTTAAGCAATGGCTATCGATTAAGCGTATATAGAACTTGATCAGTTCAGAGGTTACTGAGATCTGATCATCTCAATCCCCCGAAATTCTCAGATTCGCGTAAAGTAGCCACGGCAGTGGCTATCGGGCGCGCATGGCTTAACGCCTAGACACTACCGTTTCCAAATATTTTTTTTTTCACATATAGCAGAGATATATGTTTTCATCACAATTAAGATAGACTTAAAATTCTTTATATCGTTTTATACAATTTTCTCGTTTTACGAAAGAGTCGTTTTGTTTTAACTATTTAAAGAAAGCGAACGAACGATAAAGTTTAATGTTATAGTTGTCAAATGTATTGCCAATGGATATGATTACGTCATTTTTACCGCACGAATGTTAAACTTGCATGCATCGCTTTGACAAGAAAAATGACGATTAATTTGAACAATTGCGAATCACAAAAGAGAAACGATCTGGACTCCTATTCGGATAAAAAGCTTATACGAAAAAGTAGAAAAATACTATAGTATATATTATGTATAATATATTATAGTTACGTATACTATTTCCCTAGTTTTTCGTTTTATATACGTTTATATATAATATATATACGTTTCTTTTCAAAAACGGTCCCTATTGTATGATTTTTCAGATTTGAAATAGCTATCTTCGTTTTGATATTTCTCAACATGCTGACAATGGGGATCGAGCATTACAATCAGCCACATCCAATCTTTTTTATCCTCGAAGTATCGAACGCCTTTTTCACGACCGTTTTCGGCCTGGAGGCGATCGTCAAAATAATAGGTCTACGTTATCATTATTTCACGGTACCCTGGAATCTGTTTGATTTCTTACTTGTATTGGCGTCCATTCTGGGTATTCTAATGGAAGATATTATGATGGATTTTCCTGTGTCCCCGACGCTCTTGCGAGTCGTGAGAGTGTTCAGAATCGGCAGAATCTTGAGGCTCATCAAAGCTGCGAAAGGTATCCGTAAGCTGCTCTTCGCTCTTGTCGTCAGTCTTCCAGCACTCTTCAATATCGGGGCCTTGCTAGCCCTGATCACATTTATCTACGCCATCATCGGCATGTCTGTTTTCGGGCATGTCAGGAAACAAGGCGCATTGGACGATATGGTTAGTGTGCGGATAATTATACTCGTATTATAAGATACTTATCTTTTTAGCCTTATTGCTGTATATTTATATCGATTATATACTAAATTTTTACAAAATTCATCGCTACTAAATGAATATCGAATTTGTATGAACTTTAATAAATGTAATATGTGATATATAACTAAATAGTTAAAAGTACCGTATACTTTACGTGAAATTTTTAATAAATTTACAAAATTTTGTGATAAGTTCCGCTAATAAAACGTGCAGTTTGTTATATTATTTTTATCTCTATTATTTTATATTATTAGTCTTATTAATACTTACAATTTTTCCAGACTGAACTTTTGAAAACGACCAACGCCCGATTATCATGAATTTTGGCAAAAATTCTCCGAATGACGTCCGAAATGCCCTTAAATGGATTTTCACCAACAAGAAGGTTTAATATGTTTGCCAAAAATGTTTGAATGAAGTTATATATAGAAGTTTGTACTTATTATTGCTAGTATACTACACGTTTACTTTCACCTCACCTCTCCCCCTGCTTTAGGAGCGCACGACTTCCATGTGAAGTGACTGTCATCCCACTCACCCCCCGTCCCCTGTTTTACAAGCGCACGACTTCCACGCGAAGCGACTCTCCCCTCCGCCCCGTTTAAGGGATGCACAACTTCCACACGAAGCAACTTTTATCCCACCTATTTCCTGCTTAAGGAGTCCATGATTTCTATGCAAAATGAGTTCCATTACATCACCCCTCACCTCTTTATGAGTGCACGAAAGTGGGGTAGATCTTGGAAGTCAGGATTAATATCAGTCTCTCGGAAATAATTATAGTGAGCTATGTAACGGTAATGCATTTATAGGTAGTATATACAACTTTATATAAACATTTTTGGCATTAAACCTTTTTGTCGGTAAAAATTCAGGTGTTGGTCATTTTCAGAAGTTTATCCCAAGTGTTACCACATGGAATTAAAGAACTAACAGTATAAAATAAAAACTTAACCTAAAGACATATACACAATAGCAGATAAAAATTATTATATATATTTTGTTGCCATCATATTTATATCATGACGCACAAGATGGAATAAACATTCGTTGCTGTCATGTTGCTATCATGTTGTAAATAAAATAACATATTACATTGCTGACCGCTTGTTCTTGAAATTTTTCAAAATCAACTTGTTGCATCCCTGATAACAAAACAGATTACAAAACCGTAACCATCTGCGTTCGCATTTGGCTATGGATTTGGCGACATTTGCTGACATGTTTTGCAGCAGATTGGTGACAAAAACCGAGCAGAGTCTGCCGACATGATCTGACAGCAGATTGGTAGCAAAAACCGAACAGTCTGCTGACAATATTTGGTAATACAGACTCTACAATTTGTTGCCTTTCTGAAATCAAAAATTGTCAACAAACTCTGCTCAGTTTTTGCAACCAATCTGCTGTAAAACATGTCAACAGACGTTGTTAGCAATTTAGCAGCAGTTTGCTGACAATACAGACTCTGTCTACAATTTGTTGCCAATCTGCAATCGAACATTGTCAGCAAGTTCTGCTCCAAATCTGTTTCCGCAGACTTTGCTATTAAGGATGTATAAGCAGTAGGGTGTCCGTTATTTCCCAAATTTCAAAAATCAGTTTGTTCGCCCCCTAGATCTCTTCTTTGGCACCAAAAATTAATGTAGAAACTCAATATAGTCCGATAAATTAAAATTAAGCCGTGCCACCGAGCACTTCTTTTTTTCCATACAAATAACATGGGGATTTTGCATTTTATCGGCATTTAATTCTCTACGATGACTCTGTCCGTATAAAAAGTCATACCCAACGGAAAATTACTTCAATACGGTGTACTTACAATGAAAAAATTTGGCAGAACTCTAAAAAATTTTTTTGCACTGCGGGTAAGCCTCCAATTAATACGTTTATTTGACATATTTTCATTGAATTTGATTATTTTTTAACAGTTTTTTTTTTATACAACCACTGGATTTATGTACCAAATATCAAAACAGTATGTAGTTAATTCATATTTATAGTGTAGTTGCACTAAAAAATTTTTCAGTGCTATAAAAAACTTTTCATAAAAATTGTTTTATGTGTAATGAATGAAAGTATTTCAATAAATAAGTTTAAAAAAAATTGAAAAATAACAACTAACTATTACTTACTTACTATTTTATTGTTGTAAAGAGATATTCAGCCTGTTGATTCCTCTTACTAATAAATAAATAACAAATAAATCGTTATAAATTATATTTATTACTTTTTATTCTTTACACTTACAAAAATATATCGCTCACATCTTCAAGTGAAAAACTTTTCATTTTTGTCGTGTCCTTTTATGTGAAAATTGATTGTTTTTACGTAAAAAATGTATTTTAATAAATTTGCATTTATTTGTAAGTATATTATATAAAACAATCAATTTTCGTAAAAATCGTAAAAACAATCAATTTTCACATAAAAAGACACGACAAAAATGAAAAGTTTTTCACTTGAAGATGTGAGCGATATATTTTTGTAAGTGTAAAGAATAAAAAGTAATAAATATAATTTATAACGATTTATTTGTTATTTATTTATTAGTAAGAGGAATCAACAGGCTGAATATTTCTTTACAACAATAAAATAGTAAGTAAGTAATAGTTAGTTGTTATTTTTCATTTTTTTTAAACTTATTTATTGAAATACTTTCATTCATTACACATAAAACAATTTTTATGAAAAGTTTTTTATAGCACTGAAAAATTTTTTAGTGCAACTACACTATAAATATGAATTAACTACATATTTATATTGTTTTGATATTTGGTACATAAATCCAGTGGTTGTATAAAAAAAAAACTGTTAAAAAATAATCAAATTCAATGAAAATATGTCAAATAAATGTATTAATTGGAGGCTTACACGCAGTGCAAAAAAAATTTTTTAGAGTTCTGCCAAATTTTTTCATTGTAAGTACACCGTATTGAAGTAATTTTCCGTTGGGTATGACTTTTTATACGGACAGAATCATCGTAGAGAATTAAATGCCGATAAAATGCAAAATCCCCATGTTATTTGTATGGAAAAAAAGAAGTGCTCGGTGGCACGGCTTAATTTTAATTTATCGGACTATATTGAGTTTCTACATTAATTTTTGGTGCCAAAGAAGAGATCTAGGGGGCGAACAAACTGATTTTTGAAATTTGGGAAATAATGGACACCCTAATAAGCAGTCATATTGCTGCATTTGTAACATTCTATGTATTTTAATGTCAGCAAATACACTACTCAACAAAATCTAAGGAATACTTTCGAACACGCTAAAAATATGACATTTGCACGCAAAGCAGGCGATCCAGGTTCGATTCCCGGCCGATAATATTTTTCGCAATATAATTAAATTATTTATAGATTTTTAAGGTAAATATTTAGATTAGGGAACCCCCCCAATGACCTTGATCTTGACATATGTTGTCAAGGACATGACCTTGAGTTACCTCCAACAGGTTTTAGTCGTCGATCGCCCTTCATTAAAAAGTTTAACGAAGGAGCTCGCATCTACAATGTCGTTTTATGTTATAAAATGTATGCGTAAATGCAATAGGGTCCGTCCCTCCTGCGGGGTGCTCTATTACAATTTAAAATATCTAACCCAATCCATTTGTTGGTGTAAGGTAGCTCTCGCTTCGCGTAGAAAGTCGAAATTCACGTGCAACAGTATAGGCATCTCACTTAACATGCAAATACACTTTCATGATTGTACTGCTATTTCACATCAACAAATGGATTGGGTTAGGTTATTTTTAACAGTAGTAGAGCCCCGCAGAGAGTGCAGAACCTACTACATTCACGCATACACTTTACTACATAAAACGATATGGTAGTTACGAGCTCCTTCGCAGGGTAGAGGTAGGGTTGAAATAAAAAATAGTATAACAATATTCTCATTATATAATGTATATAGTAGACAGAATAGAATCATTACTTTGCAAGTATATTTGTACGTTCTGTAAACGTGTATCTCTATAAACTGTACGGACAATGGGGACTAGGGAAGCGGGTTAAAATCGCTTCGCGTGGAAAATCAAAACTTGTGTGCAAAATAGTAATTAACCCATTAGCGCATACGATGCCCCAGCTGGGGCAATTTTGGACACACGCGTTTTCAACTCCTAAAAATTAATATTTCTTGACGAAACTTTGCACCCTAAGGTTTTAAGGGTCGCTGATCACGAATCTAAGGTCAAAATTTCAATATTCCAAACACTGGATCCAATATGGCGGCTCAAACACAGACATTGCTTTTTCAAAGCCCCAGACGGACAAATCGAACTTCCAATTACTCAATGCCAACGAAAATGGGTTTCCATATGTTTTTGGGGTCGCTGAAACCGAATCTGAAGTCAGAATTTCAAAATTCAAAATGGCGGATTCAATATGGCAGTCACAAAAAAAATAAGTTTACAATTCAGTACCGTTTTTCTTGAAATTTGGAAAAATTGTTATTTGTATGTTTTTGAGGTCGCTTGTCACAAATCGGATGTCAGAATTGCGAATTTCAAAATGACGGATTCAAAATGGCGGACCACCATGAGCTAACTCTCACTACATCAATCGTATTTTTACAAAAATCGGTATCTATACGTTTTTGGAAGTCGCTGATATCGAATTCGATGTCAGAATTGCGAATTTCAAAATGGCAGATTCAAAATGGCGGACCACCATGAGCTAACTCTCACTACATCAATCGTATTTTTACAAAAATCGGTATCTGTACGTTTTTGAGGTCGCTGATTGCGAATCCGATATCAGCGACCTCAAAAACGTACAGATACAGATTTTTGTAAAAATACGATTGATGTAGTGAGAGTTAGCTCATGGTGGTCCGCCATTTTGAATCCGCCATTTTGAAATTCGCAATTCTGACATCAGATTTGTGACAAGCGACCTCAAAAACATACAAATAACAATTTTTCCAAATTTCAAGAAAAACGGTACTGAATTGTAAACTTATTTTTTTTGTGACTGCCATATTAAATCCGCCATTTTGAATTTTGAAATTCTGACTTCAGATTTCAGCGACCCCAAAAACATATGGAAACCCATTTTCGTTGGCATTGAGTAATTGGAAGTTCGATTTGTCCGTCTGGGGCTTTGAAAAAGCAATGTCTGTGTTTGAGCCGCCATATTGGATCCAGTGTTTGGAATATTGAAATTTTGACCTTAGATTCGTGATCAGCGACCCTTAAAACCTTAGGGTGCAAAGTTTCGTCAAGAAATATTAATTTTTAGGAGTTGAAAACGCGTGTGTCCAAAATTGCCCCAGCTGGGGCACCGTATGCGCTAATGGGTTAATATTGTATATACAGCAGAAATAAAAGACGTTATTTTTAAAACCTTCTTTTGCTCATAACTTTTTAACGAAGGGCGAATTACGGCTAAAACCTGTTGGATGTTACTTAGGGTCGTGTCCTTGACAACTTATGTTAACGTCAAGGTCATTGGGGGGTCCCCTAATCTAAAGATTTATCATTTTTAATATGTCATTCAACATATTATTAAGATCCAAGATGCAATGAGCATCAACAATTATTAGATTGTTAGTCAATTTAATTTGTGATAGTAGTGCGATAGTTTGCGTTGTAAGTCTAAAAAAAATTTTTGGCGCGCATTTAAGGATCTACATACATGGTATATAAATTTACACGAAATTATATACAATAGAAGTATCCAAGTTCCAGCTTGACCGTAAATGGCTTATTCTCATCGGTATTTAATTTAAAGATTTACTCTTTCGACTGCTGTAAACCGCATTTTTGTGTAATTTTTACCTCACGCCATAGACCTTTGTAAAATTTGTAAAAAATTTTTATATTTGACGGATATCCATTTATGTTCGTATAACTCCGTAAAGTACACTTGATTATCTGAGCATTCTGAGTATAAATTCACACAAAAATATTTAAGCTTTAAGATCCGTTATGATCAACTATAGGAATTCTCTTATTTAATTAGATTTATTCTAATCATTCAAAATTTGTATCATATTATTTTCAATTAGTATTAATAATTGTTGTTTAATTATTGTTATAAAAGTTAATATTCTTTGCAGGTGAACTTCGAAACGTTTGGTAGAAGTATGCAGCTGTTGTTCCGTTTGATGACTTCGGCTGGTTGGAATGATGTATTGGAATCGTTAATGGTGCAACCACCTGAATGCGATCCTACACCAAACAGTCGACAGATGAACGGAGATTGCGGATATCCCTTGCTAGCAATTACATACTTCACATCATTTATCATTATTAGTTACATGATAGTCATCAATATGTACATTGCCATCATCTTAGAGAATTTCAATCAAGCTCACCAAGAAGAGGAGATTGGTATCGTCGAAGATGACTTAGAGATGTTCTACATCCGATGGTCGAAGTAAGATGCTACTTTTGCTATTATTATTTTAAAGAAAAATTCTTCTTTTGATAAATCGTATAAAGTATTTAAAATTATTTAGCCGTGTGTTTTTAGAAATATTGATTTAATAGTAAAATAATTAAAAGAACAATAATAATGCAATTAATTTCATGCAATTTTGAATTTAAATTGTTGTTTTTCTAGGTATGATCCACATGCAACACAATTTATTAGCTTTTCGCAGTTGAGCGACTTTATAGCAAGCCTGGATCCGCCGCTGGGGATATCAAAGCCCAACGTTGTAGCGTTGGTTAGCTTTAATCTTCCCATCGCAAAGGGTAACAAGATTCATTGTCTGGACATTCTACACGCGCTTGTTAAGCACGTTCTTGGGCACGTCGAAGAATCGGATGATTTTAGAAAGCTGCAAGAACAGATGGATGTCAAGTTCAAAAAGCAGTTTCCAACTAGAAAAGAATTGGAGATAGTGTCTTCCACAAGAATCTGGAAGCGACAAGACAAAGCTGCCAGATTGATTCAACGTTCCATAAGAGAATACATTGCGTGAGTACGACTAACTTTGATTAAACCAATAATACGCTGGAAAAAGGTCTGATTGCATTAATTGGAATTTGGATTGAAAGTGGACCAAGAATTTTCTGGTTGAATCTATTACCATATAATTTTAATTGAGATAAACAGAAATCTGACCGATATAATCAGATCATTTGGTTCGTTTATTTTCAACTAGAAGTATCTTTTCAATATATTTCTTGTATAGAAATTAGATATCTTTTTGATGGAATATATGAGAGGAATTTTATGTAAGAAGAATAAAAAGATTGTGCAACTTTAGCTCAGAACAAAAAAGAATTGTTTATTCCTCACAGAATACATTCCAAAAAAGCATACAGTATCATCATGTTTAAAATTCAAATTATGTCATTTTTGTATCAGGTAACATGTATTAAAGAAAATCAAAAATTTAATTTATAGAAATTGTTCACTTATAATTAACTTATAAAATATTACACATAGAAAAGTTGCCAGAAAATTACGCAACAATAATAGCACTGTAATTAGAAAATATATATTATAAAATCAATTTATAGGCAACTAAAGAGATGAAATTTTGTTTGCATTATAATTTTGTTTTAAAAAATGAAATTATAAAATAATAAAATAAAATAATAAAATCGTATCATTGTGTGACGTTAGTGTACATAAGTATAATAATATTTGTTCATTTTTAATGATACATTTTTAGCAAATGTGTTTATACATATATTATATAAGACAAATAATAAAAACTCAGACAACCCAGAAAAAAATTCTATCTAAATTTAAAAAAAATTCGGTAAACCTTTACAAAAAGGGAACACCTTCCGATGACCTTGACCTTGACGTATGTTGTCAAGGTCATGACCCTGAGTAACCTCCGGCAGGTATTAGCCGTCGCTCGCCCTTCGTTAAAAAGTTATTAACAATCAAAGTTTTAAAAATAACGTCTTATTTTTGCTATATACCATCTTAAACATTATTCTACACATACATTTTGACTTCCTACACTACACGAACTCCAATTCCTCCCTCCCTCCCTCCAAGGGGCATACGACTTCTATGATTGCACTGTTGCAATTTTAAAATGAAGGTATAACATATAATACATGTATGATATTGAGTACTATTCTACACTTTTCCCTATTCAGAAACGTTAAACTTTCCACGAGAAGTAACTTTCATCCCCCCCCCTGCACAGGGGCACACGACTTCTACGATTGTACTGTTGCTATGATTGTACTGTCGGGGCAGATCTCTGTGACGGTGTGGGTGCGGGGGGGGGTGGCCGAA